TTATTGGCCACACCAATACGCGCATACAGAAACGGCCGATGGCATAAATTCCAGCATACCCCCATACATATTTGAGCAACCGGTTATATTTCAATCTCGTATGGCCGTTTCCTCCCCCTCGCGATCGGCGCCGGAATACAACTCATGCCGGTCGTGTTTCGTGTGTAGACGGACCGGTGCCCCGGCCGCCATTGTCTCGGTTGCAAATTTTTCGCGTGTAGGAGCATCGAGGCAGCGCTACCCCGTAGGGGGTACATCGTGTCGGTTCCTCCTGTTGCGCACGTTCCAGGACCGCTTCTGTGTCCGACCGTGTTGTACGAGTCCGCTCGACAAATGCACGTATTTGCTTGGCTACCGATTCGCTAATATCCCCCGTGTAGAAGCTGTTGGTGAGGGGTTGCAAAATTGCTCGGATACTCGGTCGCCTCTCCGTTGCTTCTTTTACAGGCTGCGGAGAAAATTCTGTGCCTGTATATTTGTATTTAGCTGCTTTGGAAATGGGGCCTCTTCAATTTAATGTTCTCTGTATATATTTTAACAGTTTAACAAACGTGTTATTCACGAAACTAAACAATAGAATTTATATCGAGTGTTCAAATTTTGGATTATTTATATATCTATATTATATGTTTTTAAAATTTAGTTGCTTTGGAAATGAAGCCTCTTCTATTTAATGTTCTCTGTATATATTTTAACAGTTTAACGAACGTATTATTTACGAAATTAAACAATAGAATTTATATCGAGTGTTAAAATTTTTGATTATTTATATATCTATATTACATGTTTTTAAAATTTAGTTGCTTTGGAAATGAGGCCTCTTTAATTTAATGTTCTCTGTATATATTTTAACAGTTTAACAAACGTATTATTCACGAAATTAACCAATAGAATTTATATCGAGTATTCAAATTTTGGATTATTTATATATTTATATTATATGTTTTTAAAGATAATAGAATACATGCACACGCTTCGAGATAATTGGGTTTAATGAGCAATTCGTCGACTTGAATGATTGATGGAAGATCTTCTACCTTCAATAATAATAATAATAATAATAATAACAATAATAATTTTAATTCTTTTTTTACCGTTCTCTCTACTTTCTTTTTGCCGTATCCGGAAGTCACAACAATGTCGGCGTTCTTAGTTCCACCCCTGTGCAATTAAATAATTGTAACTCGCTCTTTATCGTTTTTAATTTTTAAGCTGAAAGATAGAAATGGCAGCTTAGATTTTCGAACGATTGTCAGTAGATATGGAATGGTAACACAAATGAGTATTATTATTATTATTACACTTTGCTGAATTGTAGAATTATAATAAAAATGTGTATTAAATCACTTCTTAATTATAAAAGGTAAGGTTATATTAATTTACACTTCGAAGTGGATATTAAAGTAACGCCAGAATCAGACATTATTTCATTTAAATCATATCATTCAATGAATATTGTAAGTTCTATAAATAAAATATATACTATTACTAACTAGACACAGTGCTTTTACGAATAAAATCTTTTTTTCTAAATTTCCTTTTAAAATCTTAATTTACAAATAAAATTATAATGGAACAAAATCAAAATTGTCCGATGTCCGAATATTAAAGTTGCTCACCGTACGTAAGTAATTGTCTGCATCATCGATAGCGCATCTCCGCTGCAAGCACCAGCCGCGTCAGAGAGTGAAAAACAAAGTGGCAAATAAATGTAAAAATGCAATAAAATCGCTACCGGTTTCGATGCAGCAGAACCGCAATGCTTGACGAGGTTCAAGACAAAACGAGTCATCGAGGATGATTCCAGGGCCCGAGAGGGGCCTCGGTGGATGGCGCCGGAACACGGTAGTCACGGTTATTGCACCCGTGCATCGCATCGGGCCATTGGGCGTGCACGTGACTCGGTCGCACGTTTGACATTGTTGGCCGACGATCCATTGTTCGCTCGCCGTGCGAATCGGCCCGTGGATCGGCGCAGAGTCGGCCGGCCTACAAATAATAACTTTTCTGCGGGGGCATAAACAAAAGCGGCCCCTAAAATGCACCGGACTGGCGCCACGCTCGGCTCTGCGTCGCGTCGCCGCGCCGAGCCGCGCCGCGCCGCATTGGTGCATACACGGAACTGCATTCTGTCTCGTTCGATGCGCTGACGTAACCGAGATGTTTCCCAGATAGCGTCGGTAAGTTTCTGTCATAGATACTCGACCGTCTGCCCCGCCAGAAAATTAATGGGCCACGCTGCGACTTGCACACGTGTTTACCGCGAAACAATGTTGACATATGCAGAACGCGATGTTCACCGGGACTTTTTATTTCCTCGTGTATAGCGAACCGGGACGGGGATGCATGCTCCGCTTTGATGCCGTGCACACGGCCGCACGTGTTTACCTGCAAATGCTGCGCTCCGGGAAATCTCGCTGCCACGGATTTCATGAAAACGTTCCGGTGCAAACAGCTTCCGCAGCAATTGCTGGCAACGCGACTTTTATCGCTTAGTTGAATTTATGACTTTGATGAATGTCACGTTAGAATATTTTTGAAGTCTTTTGATATTGCTATTTATATGTACACTTACCGACGAAAGTTCAGAAGCATGTTACACAGATGCATGATCTTTGGTGCAGTGAACCTACATAAAATATTAGTACACAAAATATTGCGTCTTAATAGTTTAACACATAATTCGATACACAAGATATTGTGTCTTAATAATTTAACACATAATTTGATACACAAAATATTGTGTCTTGATAATAAAACACACAATTTAATACACAAAATATCGTGTCTTAATAATGTAATATATAATTTAATACGCAAAATATCGTGTCTTAATAATAAAACACACAATTTAATACACAAAATATCGTGTCTTAATAATTTAACATATAATTTAATACACAAAATATCGTGTCTTAATAATTTAACACATAATTGAATACACAAAGTATTGTTTCTTAACATAGGATAAAAGTTTGTATTGTGTCAACAAGAATATTAATTCTACTTTTTAAAATCGTTTAATTTTTAGTTTTTGTTTAATTTTTTTATTCTTCATTTTCCATTTAAAAAAATTTATCGGAATCGCTTAACGTTGTTATGAGAGTTACAAATAATTGAAGTTAGCGAGACGAATTTCAACCAAAAACTGTGAGTTTTGATATCTTTCAATGCCAGTAGTTCGATTCTGCACTAATCGAGAAAGGCATGTGTTAAATTTTCATTATAGTCTAAGATGAAGAAAAGTCCCTTCTTCGTTCCAACCAATTGCCATTAAAAAAAATTTATCATATAAAAACTAGTCTAACATCTAAAAACAAAAAAATAAAAGTAATTTGGTACATGTTTAAAAAAATTATTGTTTTAGAAGGTGTCCGAATATTAATTTGAATCACTGTACGAATTAAAAAGTCACGTTGTTATCGCAGTTAAATATCAATTTCCGTTTCTTTGTCGTGCAGAAACGGATCTAATAGTAGACATCTGCGTTGTAATAGTCATAGACTGCAAGAAGGAAGCACCCAATGCAAATACAGTGACTCAACAGCATAAAGTCCGAGATCCGGTAGAATTACACGGCAAAGCGTGTCGTTTGTAACACGACAGCGCTTACAAGTATCGTCTGCACTGGTCCTAATGGAGCAAAGATTACTTATCGCGGTGCAGTGAAAATGCATTCCTATTATTCTTCCTAGGCCCTACGTTACATTCTCGACGCAAATGCTCGAAACACGCTGAAGCCATTTTAGTGATTGCTCTTATTTCCTAAGCGCAGGAGTGAAATTTCTATTCTCATGAATTACTCCGATTCCATTGCAGTTGCTATTTACGTTACTATGCGAATAACGTTTATTCACTTTATAGAGGGAAATTACTGAAAAGTACACAAGTTTTTGACATTTCTAGATATTTTTGTTTCTAGACTGCGAATCTTTATGCAAAATTAAAGTATGTTGCGTCTATTGCAATACACAAAAGCCAACAAGTTATTTCTCTATTATTCTTTCTTTAATAATTTTAATACATTGGTACTTTTCCATTCTTTAGATTTTCCTAATTTTAAATTAGAAATTTAAAATTAATTTAAAAAATTTTAAATTACTTATTTTTGTCATAAATGCATAAGATCCGAAATTTAATAATTACTGGTCTAATTTATAATAAGTAACATGAAATGTAATGCCTTATTTTTCATTAATAAAAAAAAACCTGTCTAGTTAGAAACACGTTTGTGTATTATTATTATTACTTACATAATA